CCTCCCCCCAGGCCCAAGCAAAAGCTTTCATCCCTTAGCTTGTTCTTAGAGTCTTTCAGCAAGCACCGCATGACCTCTTACATCTAAAAAGCTCAAAAAATGTCCAAGTATTGAAGCCCCAGGTCTTTACAAAATGGCTAGACACATTGATGGGAACGAACATGAATTCACGGTCTTCATTCAATTAGCGCCGTGATTTCCTTTTCACCATTCTGTATCTGCATGAAAAAGTTTTCTGAATCTGATTCGTCATTTAGGGTGTTGACGTGAAAAACGCGTGTTTTGGTGGAACTCAAGCTGTATTCCACGCAATTGATTGGGTATACGCAAACTATTCAACGGAAAAGCGGAACGCCATTGCTGTTCTTGCCGACATAGCTGTATACGAGCCAGGTCCTGCGAGGTCTACGGGAGGTAACACTGAATCGCACATTGTTTTTGCCCTTGTCTTTCACTGCTTCCATTGAATTGCGTGAGGAATGTCATAACTGTTATGGAAGGACAGCGAATGAATATTTCCGTCATTGAAGTTTTTATTATCTCAAATTACTCATTTCGAATGGGTCAAGTCCAGATTCCTAGTACAGTTATCTCGATCTACGGTCTGTTCTGAATTGATGTCCGTTGAACCGCATCGGTTATGGTCCAGTGTGCGTCGTGTCCTTGTCTTAGTTTGTCTAAGCCTTCCCACTCTAGCCACTGCTCGCTTTTTATGTGCCCGGTAACTGTCCTGTCTTTTCGCGACGACTGGGTAATCAATACGGCAGGGGCGCTACGCAAAGAAGATAAAGCTACAGCCGGCCGCTTATCCGCATTTACATTCTTTTTTCCATTTCGTGTGGCCTAATGTACAATGAGTGTGAGCGTGCCGGGTGAACACGTGAGTTTGTCTCGTGGGAGCAACTTTGCAATGAGACACTATGGCCTGCAGGTTTCTATTAGGTTCTTGCATAAGCTTCTTTTTCCCACGACTTTTTTCTGTTAATCACTCAATGCGAAAGCATGACCTGAAAGATTAGTGGTATGCTATGCACCATCATCATCCACTACTCGACGCCAACGCTCAGGCAGCTTGTCGATTCCATCGTCCCAGAAGGACGGGGCTGGGACCCGAAGAAGGCCACAATGCCGCACAATCACTGTGACATGGTTTAGCACTGATAATTGTGCGGCAGTGTAGCCTGCAAATGCAGGGTGGATGAGTGTTAGCTAGTGTGGTGAAAGAGTATCATGTACATGTCACGGCACGTTAATATATATATACTCCCATGCAAGGCGAAATACGGAAGGATCAAAAAAAGGGGGGAAAAACTTATGCAACAACCTAATATGAAACGTTGTTGAACCCAGCTCAATGGCGGTCATCAGGAAGGAACGGTAAGCTACTTCAAAAAAGATCTCGTCCAGAAAATTCACTCAATAAAGCTTTACTGTTGACAAACTGACAATGAAATTAAACGTGCTACTGTTCAAATGCCACTATTATGACCGACATTTGTGACTTATCACCCCCTTTATCACAGCTTTTTGCCTCTCATGATTGGAGAAATAACTGTGTTGACAGCTGGCCGACTTAATGTTCAAATAGCAGACAATCGAGTGCATTTGCATTGAAAATGAACGTCTCGCAGCGGGCGTTGTCAAGCGAGGGGAGAATGACGGGTGGGTGTCGTGGAACTTTAGAAGATCGATGAACAGAGATTCGTTAGTGTAGCCAAACAGTGATCATTTGATTTCTATTTCTATTTATTATTTATTTTTCTATTCTATTTCTATTTATTATCTATTTGTTATTTATAGAAATAGAAAATTTGTTTTTGGCCCGAATGATCCAGTAAAAGAGAAAATGTACGGCGTCTTTGGGCAGTGGGCGCAACTGTAGCCTACTCTGGACTGTTTCCGTTCGTCTATCGAACGTAAATTTACGGGCAACATAAGGCGCAGCAAGTATATAATTATCTTTCTTGGCACCTCCATTATTTCTCAACACTTGTAAATCATCCAAAGTTCAGTTCCAGTTTTGTATTGTAAAGACAAACCGCCGGATTCGGCTTTTGTGGGTAGTGGCGTTCAATTAGAAAAATACGTAGCCAAGTAACCTAGGGAATTGAAAAAAGCAGGAAAAATCATGGAGAACACCCTGGGGGCCCTGTGCACGAATTCTCCAGACCTGCTCGCTTCATGCCATAAAAGAAATATCCTGTCGCCTCAGTTTTTCAGCAGCCGTTTTTCGCGTCATATCTAATACCATCAAAAAGTAAAAAGAAAACGAAAAGCACAGCGTGAAAACTGGACCTGTGACGCTATAGCCTTCGACTTCCGGAGGGCAGGACTACTGGGAAGGCGTCAAAACCTCCACTTGTGGAGTCCACAGCGCCTTCTGTACTTACTTTGACTACTTTGAAGCCGCGTACAATCAGGGACAACCTTTTGTAGCAAGGAAGAAAACGCTACGCTTGCTAAGCTCGGATTCTGCCTCTAAGAAGGTTTGGACTTCCACCGTTTGAAAATCGTGGTCCTACTTCTCAAAAAAAGGCGTGGGCGAGACAATAGCACATCATGGTTTGTGTTGAACTTGCTTCGGTTCATATCAGAAAGCCAAAAAAAAAAAATTTTATCAGGTGTTCGATTTGAGCACTGTTGTGTCGCGCGGAGTGTGTGCAAATGGCAGTAGAATAGGCAGAGATGTTTATTAGGAAACAGAACTGAACAGAGCTACAGCGCTCGGAATGACCCGTCTATATATTTACCCGAGATCACCGGATCACTAATGGTGGCTGTTACTGTAAACAAAAGTTATATTCGCAGTAGGTCCTAGACCGGTTCGATATCTAACACCTCCCTTTTTGAGAACATGTAAAGGGAAGTGATAAGCTGATATCAGTGGTAGTTCCCCTTGTGGGACCCCACCTGAATCCGTGAAGAAGGGCGTCGCGTGCGCATCAATCTTCGGGACTGGTCATCCTTGGTGTCGTCGTTTGTTGGCATGACGGGCTATTGATCGCACTGAAGTTGATGGGTGCAAGTCGAACATCTCGAACAGTTACTACATCCTTGTCGTTTTTGGATGGTGGTACATCGGATGTCGGAAACGGAGGTGGTTGGCATGTCGACCACAGACCATTTTTTTCTCCAAGTAGGAGTCAAACAGAAGTTCCTCGTTGCCTCGTCTTTGAAACATTTTTCGCAGCACAGCCATTCCGACTGGTTGTTACGACTCCAGGCGAGAGTACTTATTAGAGCGCGAGACGACAATTGACAGCATACCGCACAGAGGGTCTTTTATAGACCCAAGGAGACCTATCACTGCATAACACTATGGATGTAAACAACCGCTCATATTATCATTTAGGACAGTGACCTCATGAGCATTGAGCGGTCCACCACAACACTGGTTTCTGCTGTATTGTCGTAGGGGGGGGGTGGGGGGGGGGTATTTTGGGGGGGGGGCTACCGGGATCCCTTGGCTGAAAAGAACGTCTCTGGGCGCCGATTCTGTTGAACTTTAGTTCCACAGTGTTGTGATTGCCTTCTTTGTGGAGTCTTCTTGAGCACCGAGAGAGCAGTTCATAGTCCTTGGAGTCGTTTGAACTGTTGTGTCGCAGTTTGTATGACTAGACGGCGGTTTGGTCGTCGTCTGGTATCGCAAACCCTTATTTCGTGATCGACCATTTACGGCATTCCATTTATGTCGTCGATATGAACAGTTTCTGATGAAATGCATTGCTCCGCATAGCAAGCATGGAGACGGCGGCGGCTTCGAGGGGAGTGAGGAACGGTTGTCGCTTTTGTCGGGGACCGCCTGGGGGCGTCTAGTCGATTGAAGCGGGGATGTGCTCGTCCTTTCGGTCCAGGTATGACCGCATGCACCTTGACGATCCATCCTTGTATCCTGCCTGAGATTTGTAAGCCGTTTTCACTCTTCTGTGAGAGGCGACTAACTGTGCGCTCTGAACTGGCCTCGATTTTTTTTTTCGAGCAGCTTGAGTCGTGTGAAAGCTTCCGTCGCTCGATAGCAAACCACTTACGAAATTGAGGCACTTAAACAGGTTGTCGTTGCACTCAGATAGCTTGAACTTGGTACACTCACGGTATCGTCAGTGTTTTCGGCTATAATCGATACCTATGCTTTCCTAGACGTTGAATGCGCTCAAAGCGCTACCACAATTTGAGTGCACTTTCACCTGGACTGCTAAAAGGAAACCATTCAGCACCATCAACACTGTTTTTCCCATATTTTCTTATTTTTTTGTGAATGACTAACAGCGCCTGTTTCTACTCTCCTTCAAACACGAAGGTGTCCAGTGATTTATTCGTCTGAGAACAATCGTTGCTTACATCAGTATCGTCAGTTCCAGCTTGTTCTGTTTCAGTGTTACGAATATTCAGTGCATCACCCTGACCTGAAAAGTGAAATGTGAAAAAGTGAATTATAGGCACTGTCCCCATTGCAGACAATATTTTATAGCTAATCTGGTGTTAACTGCTTCCAAATGCTAGGTGCTTTATATTCAACTTAATCATGTTGCAATTTGTTCAGCGAGCAGAGCATGGCAGTACTGATCACCCACCAGATGCCCCCATTGTATTTCGACGTGGGGCTTCGAGCTCTCATACATGGCGAGCTCGTTGGGATTGTCTTATAAACCGCGATCGGTTCAATTTTGCAAAATCGTTTAGAGCTCTTTTGTTCGCTCACCTGTTGGCTCGAATGTTGTGTTTAGGTAGGACTTCCACCGAATATCCTATTGTCGATGGTCCTGTAAGCCTGCAGTCTTATATGAATGCTCTGGATAATTGTTATGTTCGCTTTAGGCAGAAAGCGTTGAATATATACGGAGAAGGTTGGTTGAATTTTTTCTTGGGTGTTTCACCTTTTTTCGATAAATCACTGTGCAGCTGATATCCATGCAATGGAGACACTTCATTTGAACCTCAGGGAGGATGTAGCAATTGTTCAGGGAGAAGGAGCCAGGATTCAGATTAGGAGCATTGATTGCATATTCATAACAAAACATTTTCTTTTATCATATCAAACAAATAAATGAGTAGGCGATAAGGCAGAGGCGTGCAACGAAAGAGAGACGCAACACATACATGAGGAGGGGGAGGGGAAATAAAAAGACACTATTCATGTAGCGTAATATTGGAACTTTTTCTCGCACAGAGTGATGGAGTAACGTATGTGAACACTCATGACAGTTTCAAAGAACTTTATCACATGAATGCTAGGATAGGAGCAAAAGTCAGACTCCAAAAGGGACTCGAACCAGCATCTCCCGTTTGCTTGCGGTTATGTTACCGATTCCGCTGCCGCGGCCACTCTTGGACTCTCAGCTTAATGGCATTCTGTCCTTGATGTCATGTAAAGGTATGTAAGGTGCAGGGTAGGGCACATGCCATTGAACTGGTAGGGTAAGAGTGGATACCTTAACGGATAACACAACCGCCCGCTAAGCGGGACGATGCGTGCTCGATCCCATCTGGGTCGCGCATATCAGCTTTCTAGTGATAACTTTCAATGCGCGATTTGCGGCGTTAAACAGCAGTTATCATAAAAAAACAAAAACTCGAAGCTTAACTTCGGAAACCTCGGAGAACCTGACGGCGATGACGGACCGCTTCGGTTTTGCAGGCAGCGAAGGGTTTTTCTCGCATGAATAGGAGCATTTGTAGTTCATCTAGGGTCTTTCATGTACCTCCTTTCCCCATGCGATCTGAACTTCGATGACAAAATGTTCGACAGGTTTTTCTACCCTTCCCGTTTTGCTAGACTTAGGAATTCTACTTCACTGATTGTGAGGTAAATCTAGCGAAAATAAGGTCCCCGTGTCGCCCCCCTTTTTTTGGTGCTTATCGCACGTCAATCAATCTATTACTCGTTTTAGTACCTCATTGTAACTAAATGAGCATTTTCCTCTTGAACGCTTGGAAATGAATAAAGAAAATTCACTGAAAATGGAAAATAATTGGCTGTTGAAAAGTCGGTTAAATGAAAAAAGGAAGGGAAAGTAGAGAGGTAGCTTAGCTTCCTTTTCGCACGTGCGTCCAGACGGAAGCTGTGTAAAAGCGTAGTCCTCCCTCTATGCCCAGTAAGGGAAGGGAGCAACGTCACAGTCGATCAATTTTAGAAGCAACAAAAGTTCTGAATCACTTTTCCGTTCCCTGCTTGTAAACAAAATATGCTCTTCAACGAGCAATGGCTGGTTCTGTCGTGGACTGGTCTTCAAATCACCGTAGACCTTACGGAGACAGAAGCATGCGGATCGAGCATGAAATGCTGAGTGAAGATACGAAAACAAGAACAGTTCCCGGTTTCCACAGTGTTTTCTGTGCAGTCAAGGCAGGAAATTTCGTTGAAAACATGGCTGGTGATTGTCAGTTGCGTGGAAACTCGTGATTATAATGCAAAACAAGTCCAAAGTTCGTGTTCCGATAGTCAAATTGCACTGTGGACGAATTTCTGGCCAAGCAGAGATTTGAAAAAAAAATTCGAAAACGGTCCGGAAGGATGGTGCGCAGTCAGCAGCTTACCACTGCGCAGCTGATCCGTTTCATAACGATTTTCATTAACAAGAAGAAAACTCCCAAACCTTGGATGAAGGGCGTGGCTCTAGCAGGAGTATTATCAGGTGCGATGTTGCAGCCTGCAACGAATTCATCGAGAGGCATAGGTATTGCAGGCGAAGAGCATGATCAGTGACGGTGACCCGACAACACTGCCACAATTCTCTGTTGATCTGCTGCCTGGAATATGTAGAGTGCGACATGTCACCTGCGCTTCGATAAAGCGCTATAATGAAGAACATTAAAAAAACTGGGATGGATATTTTTTCATAAAAGGTAAAGCAATACGCTTCTTGCTGACGGAAACCGGACCCATAACTTCTAGCTTGGTGAGCGAGATAATTGTCATTGCGCCATGATTAATGTTCGGTACATAAAAGTGAATGTTGCTTATACCCTACCACTGAATTGCACTGAAGCAGTGTTGAACGCTCATAACTCTCCTCAGCGATGTAGGTGGGTCTTGAGGCGCAGTTTGGCTCGGTAGGGGCATCAGTTAGTTTCAGCAAAACTTGTTCAGATCACAATGAGACCTGTAAGTTCCTGGAAGTCAAGTCAGGCTCACTTGTACAACCGTAAAAGTTTCCAGGTATCACCAAATAGCGACTTATTAGTTAACATGTACTAGCAAAAGGAACTAGCGAAAAAGATGCCCCCCCCCTCATATATACCGAACAGCGCCCTGTTTATTTTCACAATTTGTAAAAACTATCTAGATTGATATATAGTTTTCTATTCGAGGTTCCATGTTTAGTTGACGACCTTTGCTCGTCAGTACTGGCTAGGGGCGCAGCTGCCAGTAATCAGTAACCAGTGGTAGATTACACAATGCGGATATTCTGTGTAATATGTTTTCACTTCCTTTTGATTAATCTGTTTAGATGTTTCTCTCTCGTCATTCTCAGCGGCAATGTTTCATTCACCATTTACGCGCATGGTGCAGAAGGCAGTAGCGCGACTTTCTTACAGGTACATCTCTTGACTTGTATTCATAGATGAAAATGATTGTAATCGAAATTTGTATAGAGACTATGAAAATGGAAAAGCAGAGTACGGCAGCTCTTACTCGAAACTTGGGTGAGTATTCCATGTATCCAAACTAGTGTCTTCTTTCAGAGTTCTTTCTTTGGGCCACGTTCATACATGACGGCTTTGAAGAAATGGCGAACTGCGGCAAAAAAAGAGAATGCTCATCGAATCGAAGAACAGAAATTGGGAGAAATGCAGATTATGCAGAAAGAAGACGAAAATATAGGTGTCAGTTTGAAGAAATGACGGAACTGCAGATAGAAGAGAATATACGTATCGACTGAAGAATCGCAGAATTGGGAGAAATGCAAAAATGCCGAAGTGACAGGCAAAGACTTGATGAGAGTGATCGCTCAGCTTCGTCCCTGGGAGAAATACCCGATTCTGCGGAATTTTGACGTTTCTGCAGATTCCGCATTTCTGTATTTCTGCCGATGCTGCGTTTCTTCAAATCTATACATATACTTTCTACCATCTGCAGTTTCGGCATTCTTCGCATCGATACTTATGCTTTCTTTTTTCTGCACATTCTGCATTTATCAGCCCCGCGATGTCTTCATTTCTTCACAGTCGTCCTATATACACTAGTTCGCTGCGGATGAAGGGGCGTGTCAGGCAGTATGAGTGTGCCACGGCGCCAAACCCGTTCTCTGCCAGTTGTTGAAGCGGGTATGCGACAACAATTGGTAGAAAACGAGTGATACGAACGATATGATACAGTCTTGTCATTTGCTCGCTTCAACAACTGGTGGAGAACGGGTTTGGCACCGCGCCAAACTCATCCCGCCTGACACGCCCCTTCGTTTGCTTCGAAATAGACTGTGTGAATGCAGCCTTACTGTTTCTGTTGAACAGTTTTCATTAATGGATAAAGCTTCATTGATAGCGTCGTGGGTGGCTCGTTAATATCTTCAATTTAGCGTGTTATCTCAGTCGTCGTTCGAAAACCGCGAAGTGATGAATTGTCTTCTGTGTGGTTCCGAATCATTATGGAATCAAAAAGTGAATCCCTTTCTTGTGTTAAACCGACGAATTGGTAACATGTACACACCGTCGCTGTTCGCTCAGTTGGTGGCTTATCTGGCATCGGGGTAGGTAGTTAATAATTTGTTGATTTCTTAATGGAAACGAGATTGCTTTTTTAAGGGTTGTCGACGACTTGAGTCGATTACTATTTTTTGCATACGGTAGTGGATCAGCATCTGCAATGTTTTCCGCATCCATCCGCGACCGGAATGACGAACATCTCATTCGTATGCGAGAAGTGTGTCGCACCGCGGTAGGTTAGAATGAGAATCACTCCCTTATAGATGTCAGAGGCTCTCTTATCACTGGTAATGTCTATCAATGTGTTTTAGTTTTTTGTTCAGTGGTTTTCAGAATGCTGTTTGGATAACAAGGGCTCTCTAAAGGGGGAAAGTAAACTTTACAAGGTCTGAAACCTAATGAAGTGTTGTTACTAATTGTGACTTTTTCCCGCAGTCAATTATCATTATATTGGGTGTTCAGTTATGAACCAGTAGCTGATAAGTGGCTCCCCAAAGAAGCAAGCAAAAAGAATCACTAAGAGCGCCATAAAAAATTCGCTTCCTCACAGTCACACAGCCTCATTGTGCTTCTCCAGACTTGCTGGCAACTCGACGCCCTGTGGTCTCCGTGCAACCCTGCTCACAGATCGATTTTTCGCATATTTCAGTACTAAATGCCGTGCAAAGAAACGTTAAACGAAATACAAGAAAAACACTGAAGCAAAACTCGTAACAGAAATTAGCTTTCGAAAACTGCGTGCGAAATTAAGATTACGGTAAGGGATGCGCGTTGAGCTTGCACCAATCGCATCACTTGTGATTTGAACACATGTCTTACCTTACAAGATGGATTGCTGTTGACTGTGTGTGCTCCAAATGAAGACAACATAATGGAGAAGAACAGAATTACACATGAGCCCGGTTGGCAAAAATGGACATGCAGTTCGGATTTATGTCCGCCGCTCCTACAACAACAAATAAGCGCCCCCGTGTTAGGTGTGAAGCGGTGTGTTAGTTGGGTGGGCGGTTCCAACTGAGCGGGTGTTAAAACTAGGGCCTTCGGCGGCTGCAGCACCTTCTCCACTTGCCGCGAAGTCGCGATAGCGTCTCTCTCTGAGTCTCTGAGGGACTACTTGCAAAGGAAGGACAACCAACGAACTGCTTGAGCACGGGGTTTGTATTCAAGATACATTTACTATCCTCGCTATTCTCCTTGCAGAAAATGGTTTTTCTTTCTCTACAATCGTCATCTCTTTATGCACTTTGAAACTTGTTCTTTCACTTCAGTCTGCACTCAGAATTGTTCATTCATCAGCTCTTAACACGTTGACGACAACGCGGGTTTTTACTTTTCGGCCTCGTGGGACACGCGCGCTTTCTTGAACGCCACAAGCGCGGTACGCATACAATTCAAGCCGTCCCACGAAGCGCTTTTCTGGAGATTGGATCGAAAAACCTGGTTTAGAGAGCGATTGTGAAGTAAGTCAATTATTTACTATGGAAAAATCTGGGCTGGCCAACTCTCTTTGCACCAGGACCAGGAATTTGTCTGTAACCAATTTTTTCATAAAAAACGCAAATCGTGCTTTCTATAGGATTCAGAATACGTTCATCTTATATTTTTTCATATTATCAATGTTGTAATTGTCTATATTTATTGGCAAAGAGTTAAACAGCAAACCAATCCAAAGTTGAGGAGCAAACCAATTCAAGCTTATAGTGCTCTTTCCACAGGAAATCTTTGCTAAACTATGTGTGTACTAACTTATTCCATGGACCACGTGCCACGTATACGAGTATACTAAGGACTGGTCTATGGAATGAATAGGAGAAACTAAACAAGAAAATCATGCACTAGTGAAAGATATGGATTTGTTGATCGTGGTTCGTTACGTCCCACGTGGCCCACAGAGCATTAAATGCGTATCACGCTGTCGTCAATTGTTTAATGGTTGTGTATTTAGATGTGTTATGCCGATGCCACTTGTTTTTCGTTTAGATTCTACGATTAGACGAGAGACATGAGTGCACACCAGAAGTATATTCTGAAACGATGAAAATGCGTGAAGTCTTTCTTGCTTCTGATGGTTTGTTTCAGTTTGGATTTGTCTTTTTCGGAATGAAGATTTCACTTGGTCCTTCAACTCCTGAATTTCCACCGTTGTAGGCGCGATAATTAGCGATGTGAGTCGTTGTTGTGTGGGCCCATTGGCAGTTTGGATGCAGTTCAAGCATTTCTGGCGCCATGGGTTCATGTTTGCGTTCATACTTTGCGTCAGCGTCTTAAGGGCAGCGTTTCAAGCGTTTAGAGCGTCTAAGAAAGTAGATATCGAACTAGCGTACGTCAGCACTCCGAGTGTACGCCAGCGAATGCCAGCGGACTGGGCTTTTGAGCGACTAGGAACGTTTGAATATCGATCTAGCAGTTTGAGTACGACAGCGTTTTGAGCGTTGTAGTTTTGAGCTTTTAACGGACAGCCCCTGAAAACGCTGGATTTTTATCCACACTTTGCTATTCGCTCAAAATGCTGCGTCATGCTAGCGTTGTATAAAACGCTAACGCAAAATATAAATGCGGCCATCTCCCACACGTTTGTGTGATGAAAGTACCACTCTTTTGCGACTGGGGTTGTAGCTTATCCGAATCAAACGGCAATTCGGGAACTTGTGATTTTATTCTTGTTCAAAATATCCTTTTTACATTACAAAGCCGTTTTTTGCATTGAAAGGAGTCATCATTTCGACTAGAAGTGCAGCTTCTGTTGAAGGGGAGATTTCTGGAAAAGTGTCCTGAGTTGTCAATTCAAGTCGCTGGTACTGCGCTCGTACTGCGACACTGCTGCACGATTAGGGCTGTGGGGGTGCTCCTCGCACATGGCAAAGGTCCATCTTGCAGACAAGCATACAGCGTATCTTCAACATCCACAGTTGATACTCATCACATTGTAATGATCCCAGTGACCTAACAATCCTTCCTGGTAAACAGAGCATGAGGCAGACAATTTGTAGGCCCTGTAGAACCTTGTGCCTGTGCGTTGTCCTACTTGATTATGCTCTTCATAAAACGCGCAAAAGAACCCCTTTTCCTGTCTCTGAATCCGTTTTGCTGAATTTCTAGATAGGTTCTGTCAGCGATTAAACGTAGCAATTCGAGGTCCATGAAGGTACGGGATCTAGTGAAGTTCAAGCAAGGGGCCCTAACATTGGTATACTGTTTAACGTAATCACTTTAAGTGCCTGTCACTCCTAAAGCAAATGGAGCGGGACCGTCATCGACGACTCTGTTCCCTGGAACCTATTATTTGAGAATGTTGGACGAGAAGTACCGCCGATACTACGATGTCGTGCCGTATTGTGCGCGATTTGAAAGTCACGAAAACGAACATCCACGACATATGGAATAAATGGAGATGGGGATGCATAGCCACTCTCTCTCTCTCTCTCTCCATCTTCTTGCAAAAAGTATCTTTTATGCAGTTTCTTCAAGATGGAGGATACCTTTGCTTTTTCATGTGTTTTCATGCATCTTCAGAGGAGATTTGGTGCCTGCATCTCTTTCTCTCTAACAAATCTCCTGTTACAACAAATCTCCTGTTATATGGTTCTCAGTAAATAATTGTACATTGCATTTCATCGACTGCATTTCATGTTGCTATCAGACTTTTTTCAGAAAAGTTGACTACTCAGTTTTTTTTTAAATGTTGTGCTCAGTTTGTGAGACAGAATGCCCTCCTATTGTGCTACACTTACTATCTTTGCATGTGCATATCTGTTTTCTGCCCAAGCTCACTGTTCATCGTTCCTTTCGCACAGTGTTCAGTACAGTTACATGTTTGTTTCCTTACTGTTGTTATAGCTTTTGTTGAATTTTAGGGCGCAACATGTGCCTTCTGTATGTTGTTGTTTTTAGTGTACTAGAAGAGCTTATAGTTTCGTTTTTTGTGACTCATTGTTTTACATTACATTATAGAGCAATTATAGCTTGAAGAAAATGTTTTTTAAATTGTGGTTCCGTCTTTTTTATAGGTTGCGAAATCCTATCCTGTTCTTAGTTATTCCATTTTAATAGTGATTGAAAATTCGAAATCGACGCTGGTGACAGAGCCAGTTGCGTTGATTGCGACTGCAGAGATTGTAACAAGTTGTTCCGACCTTCGATCACTACAGCAAATTTATAATCCTTTCAGCTGGTTGGAAGACATTTCGAAACTAACTGAAACGTTCCAGTTAGTGTCTATAAGTTAGACCGTTCATGGAATATATTTGCTTTTCTTCTGGCAAATAAGAAATTTCTCTCCACCCCAAGTTACATAAACGACACGACTATGTTGATTCGTGCGACTCACATACTAATGGTAAGGTGGCAAGTAACACAAGCGAAAAAGCAGCAGAAACTCGCCCGAGATGCCTCCTATAGAACCCAAGCGCTGCGCTTGTACGTGCATAAGGCGAAGAGGGTAGTTGTCGGACGACTTCTTTTTCCTTGGTAGCAAGTCTTTCTCCTTAAACTCACTCTCACTGTTCGGAATGGAGAGGGTTAGTGGCGGAACAACCGCACCAGTGGTGAGGCCGTTCCCTCATCGCGAGCGGATCGCCTTTCCTCGCGTATTTTAACTTGTGAATGGTACATCCAGAGTAAGGCGTCTTTACCTCAGGTGACGGCGGTGACCCTGTGTCATGAAACTCATGAGAAAGGAATTTTCCAAGTCTATGTTCCTGGCGACGTCTTCGGCACTACATTGTCTTTCTTTCCAGAATACAGCGAAAATTAGGCTCGGCTCTCGACCCATCAAGTTTCAGGGAATTCCGCCTCTTGTGGTTGGACCCGATCTTAAGTTTTATATTTAATTCGTCCAACGAACCACCTTACGTGCAATCAACCAAGTAACAAGTATTTGATCCAGCTTCGGAAGGGGTCCTTGCGCAATTTTTTGTGCCCGGCGCCAGTCTTTTCGGCGGTCCTTGTCGATAAGCCTCTAACGAATTTTGTTGAGAGGTTCTGGAGAAAGGAGTTTTTTTTAAAGGTTTATTTGAAATTTATTTTGAATGTTCGAAAATAACATGCACAAACAACAACGCTGAGTGTTTCTAATCCAACTCATATAGCGGGAAAATCTGCGAGAACTACTGGGATACAATAAGGATTTCCCCGGAAGACGGTGAGCGACTGCGCTGCGTAATGCTGGTTCAAGAAATTTCGTACTGGGGTGAGAGCATGGAAGGTGATGAGCGTGGTGGACAGCCATCAGGTGGTAATAACGAACAATGAAAGCGTTAGTCGAAGGGAAGGGACACTGCGGGAAGATTGAATGTTTTGAGCAAGATAGTTTGTGTCCACACATGCAGGAGATCGGAAAGAGGATGAAGCTTGATAAGTGGGTGCCGCACGAATTGAGTCACTACCTGAAGGACTGACTTTCTGTTATCTCCTCCTTCTTTACTTTGAAAGCCAAGATATGCGAATTTCAACTTTGGAGTGTCGCAAGAACCATCTTCCTGATTGCAGCATACAAAACTTGAATAGGCCTCGGTGACGTTTTAGATATGTAGCTCTACAGTACAGGTGTGAGCGTGGCTGCGTATTTTCGAACATGCATAGAGAGCGTTGAGTTTTTCTACTTGAGACAAGTCCAACAGTCATATTTTTTTCCTTGAACAAAGACGATATGGGGCGTTCTACGCTTCCTGTACGCTGCGGTGCGCCTGTGCAGGGCAGCACTCCCCATTTCTCATCGCCGCTGCTGAATAGAAAGCATATAATCGATTAGAATGGAGCGAATGCGTTTCACATCCTTTTGTCACATTCCATCATTTTTGCCTCATTGAAGTTATGGCTAATTTCGGAATCAGTTGGATCTATCTATTCTATAAAACGATGACTTAGTCGATTGCAGTGAAAAGAAATGAGTAATGCTGTTCTAACTCGCATTTCTGTTGTTCTGGAGTAGTTTTTAGTGGTGCGTTCTAGGTAAGTTATTAAAGTTTCACCGCTAATAAAGATGGTTCCCGCGATCAAGTGATCGGTGAACGCTCCATGCATATAGCATCCAAATCCACACTCGCATAAGGTGTACCACTTTTGTCATGCAAAAGAGCGAGATAAAGCATCTACTAACGCGTGACTCTTATGAACTTTGTTGTTCTCACTCTGCAAGACAACGGCTTACGCGCTGAGTTACGTGTATGCATTCTGTTGCCTGCAGTGTCGTAAAGCGATTTTCTATGCTTGTCTGTGAGAATCCTCGCTCTAACTCTTTTTTGCGAGGTTACGAGTTCTGCCTGTCTTCGCCTGGATATCCTGTTGAAATGGCAAGTAAGTACAGTAGCAGTCCTAATTTTACAAGCACTATGGTTTGAGCGCTATTTAGATTCAGTAAGCGCTGCGATCGATTTGGGCAAAGATTTGTCATGCACTGCATAAACTAGTCCGAATGTGTAATGTAAAAGTCATGCACAGTGTTTTGGATATCTGTTTTCTGTTCCATTGGCTTTGTTATTCTTTTTCTAGTATTGAACTGCGTTGTATGGAGAGTGCGAAGAAAGCGATTTTGGGTTAGCAGGGGTTGCACAGAGGCCGTTGCGGGGGTGTCGACGCCAGCAAGTCCTGAGATCTCGTACAATGGTCAGGGAGGGGTTTTGTACTGGCGTTCGCAAGGTTTCTTTCTGCTTCTTTCTGTCCTGGAGGAGTCACTACAGACAGCTACTGGTTCATAATTGAACTTCCTCTACTCGTAATAGTTGGCCGCGGGAATTCTCTTTACGTTCTGACCGCCCAGAAAGAGCTATCAAAACAGAAGTATACCTGCTAACTGCATATTGATATACTCCTATTTAAAGACAAACCTCGCGACAGCATGTTGTGGATATTGGCGTTCATTTCCAACCTCTCACTAATAGTGACTCTCCGGAGAAGAAACGGCGAAAAGAGTCATGGAGCACACCTCATCCTCAGGGCAGCCCTCACTGTACGACTTGTCCGGACCTACTCGTTCTATTCCAGCACAGCGATATCCTGCCACCTTTGGCTCACTGTTTTTTTGGCGTCACACAATGCTAGTACCACCTCATAGTGAAAGAAAAACGAATAGCCTCTGAGTTGGGTGCTACAGCATGGAAGGCGTCAGAACTTCCACCAGTGCATGCTGCAGCGCCACTAATGAATGCTGCAGCACCTTCGTTACTTACTGTGCAGCCGCAAAAAGGGGCAGTATTAGAGACTGCGTGTCAAACTGCTTGAACAAGGAAAGACCGCTATTGTATAACTAAAGACATTTGCGTGGAAGTAATCTCTTCGTGAGCGGATATGTGTAAGTGATCAAGAGGCGCTTATAATCTTGCGCGGCGCGCGCGGGTTTCGCATCCCCGGTCGATTCCGACTAGGCCCACCGAGCCTTCATTTGACAGTGGAATTGGTACCCAGAGTTGGGTCTGAGAGGACAAGAAAACTCACTTTGTACATCGGTTGGCCACCACAAGACATTGTATAGGCCACATCGCATTCAATAAGCCAATACGATTCTGAACAGAAATAGAATGCGTGCCGCATTCCAGAAAGGGTTTGATGAACGGCGAAGACTTTATCCTTTTTATCCTTTATCTCGTTGGGTACGATAGCAGTTTATGGATGTTTAAAAAGTTCTAACCAATCGTAGTGTAGTAATGTATGTATGAAATTCTAAGATACAACCAAAGCTGCAGGATGAAAAAGGATCTTATCTACTCCCATGCTCTGTCACTATCAGTACGTACATTATTAAGGCGACGTTGCGCCGCAGCGGTGTCGATGACAGCTGGCTATTGGCGCTCCGTAGGCTTAATTAGATCGTCCATATGGATACATCCAAATCCTGTGCAGAAGCGGCACTTCTCAGTCATTGACATTCCGGAGTCAAGCCTCATATTTTTCTTACCCCCCCTCCACCTTCCCCCACCATTTGGATCCTCACGCGCTCATGGCTTCAGCACGATGCGTCACTGGATGTCGAACGCATTGTTGATTCTGAAGATAGCTTAGTAACCCCTCCTCCTCCTCCTCCAAGACTGTTTACAATAGACTGGCAGTTTCTATAGACTATTGAGCTATTCCTACCCCAAAAACTCAAAAAATTTTTTCGCCGAAACGTTGCCTATAGATGTAGTTCGATGCCCTGATCACGAATATCACATTCGTTTTGAGCGCTGGCGCCATTGTGCGCCAATTTGGCGCAACCACTTTTTTCATCAAATTCGATGAAAACTTGTATATGGGGATTAATCGACATCCTGATCACGATTATCACATTCGTTCTGGC